GAGCCGGGTTTAGTGACGACAATTAGGGGCAGATAATTTAGTTTGAATGGATTTTAAACGTGGGGGGGGGGGGGGGGGGAAGGGGGAAGGAAAGGGGGGGGGGGGGGTTATGGTCCTTAACGAGCTACTTATAGTGTTTTAAAGAAATATTTTCAGTGGCAGCGTTGGTACTGTCGAATTCACAAATTATGAATTACTGAAAAGTAGAAAAAACAACAACTAAATAGCGGCGAATGATATGCCGCGGGCCTGCTCGTTATTTTTAACTAGGCATACTGCCTAGCTTCGCTTAGGTTTTTAAAAAAGTTGTGAAATTGAATGATTAATTAATAGGTGATTTGCTGTTATGCTAAATGTTTAGGGCCTGAAGTTATTTAGTGGGGTACTTTTATTGTACTAATAAAAAAAAGGAATATTCGCAAACTTATTACTCGCAAGGTTATTAGAACTGAAAGGGCTTTCATAAAAATTATTAATCAAATATAATACTAAATTACTTTTGCAATTAATGTTACAATTTCAATTTCAATACAATACAAAACTTAATTTATAACAAAATATCCATTTAAAACAATGCTATACATTATGATTTTTGTTTTTTCTTAAAAAGAGTATACAAAATACTAAAAAATTGTTACATTTAAAAGTTACCGCCCCTGTTCATAGGCCAAATGACCAAATAGCGTATAATGAGAATTTCAATTGCAGTCATTTTTAGCCCTCTTAGAGGGCTTTGATGCTGACCAACAGTTTTTCCATACGGCCCAGTCATCTATAGAGGTGTATACAAAAAATTAGCCAGTTATACAAAGAGTAAGAACCCTGAAATTAGTGTAGAAATTACCATGTTTTCCCCATAAAATACAAAGATTATATAGGGAAATACGAATGGTCAGTTTTGACCCATTTCCCGATTTTTCCCGGACATGGCGAGTTTTTTTTGTGATACCCCAAGGCGTTCTCCCACCACCTCACAAAATATCAAGGGGGGTCGTCGGAGGAAATTTTTTTTCGTAATAGAGCTCATATAAAGAGAATTTCACTCGCGGTCACTTTTTAGCCCTCTTCGAGGGCTTTAAGTCAAACCGACAGGTCTGCGTTACGGCCAAGCCTTTTACCTATAAGCATGCCAAAACTTAGCCAGATGTAAAGAGGGTAAGTGCCCTAAAATCCGTTTGGAAATGACCCTCTGTTTTCCCCATAAAATACAAAGATTATATAGGGAAATACAACTGGTCAGTTTTGACCGCTTTACGAAGTTTTCCCAGATATGCCGAGTTTTTTGTGACACCCCTAGGTGTTCTCCTACCACCTCACAAAATATCAAGGGGGGTCGTCGGAGGAAATTTTTTTTCGTAATAGAGCTCATATAAAGAGAATTTCACTCGCGGTCACTTTTTAGCCCTCGTCGAGGGCTTTGAGTGTAACCGACAGTTTTCCCTAAAGGTCAAGCAATTGACCTAGGAGCATGCCAAAAATTAGCCAGATGTAAACAGGGTAAGTGCCCTAAAATCCGTTTTGAAATGACCCTCTGTTTTTCCCATAAAATACAAAGATTATATAGGGAAATACGACTGGTCAGTTTTGACCCATTTCCCGATTTTTCCCGGACATGGCGAGTTTTTTGTGACACCCCAAGGTGTTCTCCTACCACCTCACAAAATTTCAAGGGGGGTCGTCGGAGGAAATTTTTTTTCGTAATATAGCCCATATAAGGCGCCGGTCAGTCGAGGTCAGTTTTGACCCCTTCTCCGTAGACTTTTCGGCCAACCGTCACCGGCCTTCGTGTTCTATTGCCCGAAGGCACCATCGTGCCAAATTTGACGCGCCTGCGGCGCCGGGAAGTGCCCTATCGGGCACTTGACCACTTTGCTTTATATCTATAGATAAGACAAGTAAAATAACTGCATCTGTTGAAGTTTACCTCAACCCTAACCGATGCTACCCCTAAGAAATGTTTTTTTCCCCCACAAAAAGCTTTCCAGGAGTTTTCTCATTAACTCCCGGAAGTCTCTTGGCGATCGGATGAACGGTGTCAAACCGCATGTGACTTTTTAAAAATATAACGTTATAGAGAAAAATCGCATCCTGCCGGGGAGGGGGCACGACGTGGGGTGGGGGGGGGGGGAGCCACCCCTCAAAAAAAAATTTCCCTTCCCATGAATATTCTCAACTACTCCCTAACCCTAAGTTTCATGGAAGCCTACAAAAGAATTACCCGCTTTACACTAGTATATTGCAGTTGAATGTGGTCGTCCGTGGATTGCTTAGCTCGGTTCTGGAGTTGAAAACGTCTGCTACCTAAATGTGTATTCTGTCCTCTCGTCGTCTGGCTCCTAGCCATGTTCCGCTACAATCGCAATCTTAGCCTCGGCCTACTAGATCTAGTTCTTTAGGAATGCCTGTTTCCGTGTGTAGCTTGGGCTGTAGTGTGTCACTGGTTACACACTAGATCTAATTCTAGATAGAGGTACTAGATTCTAGATCTAAGTCAAGTCGCAAGCCATTGGTCTAACTCGTTTGTTTACACGACGCCAGGACAACGATTAGGTTAGGTCTAGATCTAGATTATATAATATAGAATATATGTGCTTTGGCTTTTTTGCTTTGTTATAGACTCTAAATCTCGTTTCAATTTTCTTACACAGTGAGTTTGGATCTAGATCTAGCTAGATCTAGATTCTAGCTCAGCCTGAAATTTAGTAAATATAATATTTCTACATTTAGAATTTTAGATAAATATTTAATATACTACTGATACTTAATAGTTATAGAATCTATATATATATTAAAAATATTAAATTATAGGCCTATTAGGCCTAATAAAGATCTAGTAGGCCCTATATAGTACTATACTATATACTATACTATATTTAATATTTAGTATATTATAATATATATAGGCCCTAGTTAGGCCCAAATACTTTTTTATATTTAGTTAGCTAGGGCCTAGAACGGCCTAGATTCTATAGGCCCTAAATTTTAGGGCCTAAAATCTAAATTAAATTTTAAAAATTAAAAATATAATTAGGCTTAGCCTAATTAATTAATAATTATAGATCTCGATTGAGATTCTAGATCTATTTTATAATATAACGAGCCGACAGTACCAATGCTGCCACTGAATATATTTATTCTAAAACACTGTCAGTAGGTCGTTAAGGACGATATCCCCCCCCCCTCCTTACCCCTACCCTCCCCCTCCCCCGTAAAGAAGCAGCCTCCTCTTAGTTACCTCCCCTAAGTTTAAAATTGTTTCAAACTAAATTATCTGCCCCTAATAGCCATCACTAAACCCGGCTCTATGATTGTAAACATTTAGCGTGAACCACAGCTCACCAGACCATGTGGGGGTGGTAGGGAGCGCTCTTACAGCTTGGTGTTTTCTAGGGTCTCCCAGAAGAGAATTATATATATAGATTATATAGACCTAAGCCGATTAGGCCTAACTACTAAATAAAATTTTAAATAATAATAAATAGTAGGCCTATTAGCCTTAGGGCAGGGTCAAATCATGATAATGAATAAGCCCTCCTAATGCTAGAAATTGTAGGCCTAGACTAGAATCTAAAATCTAATAGATATAGGCCTACAAACATTCCATTTCTAAGCTAAGCCTTGAAAATGCAATGCATACCTTTAATAATTAATATAAGCTAGCTATGATAGGTCTTATGTTAATCTAAATTTAAGTAGTAGACCTATAGGCCATATTATATTGAGATCTACTACAAGGCCTATTGGGGTCGTCCATAAATGACATACACTCGTAGGGGGGAGGGGGGTCCATAATATTGTGATGGTGTGTGATGAGGGGGAGGTTCAGATGGTGCGATGTCACACTTTTGCATTATAAAAAAGAAAAGTTTGAAAACGAATTTTAGACGTTACTTTGGGCTTCAGAAAACTGTTTTAATAAATTGTAATAGGAATTGATTAAAATACTTTATTTTGACAGAGTTCAGACAAGATTTTGGAAAAATATCGATGTTTAAAAAAAAATTCAACTGCAATTTTGAGGGGGGGTTTGTAGGCTGAGGTGTGACGTCATTTTAGGGGGGGAGTTTGCTTTTTGTGACAACATGTGATGGAGGGGAGGGGGGGGAGGTAAAAATAATTTTAAAAAGCGTGACATCATTTATGGATGACCCCATAGGCCTATAATTTGAAAATTATCTTGTCCTCAATATAGCCTAGATCTAGATCTTGGCCTATCTAATATATAAAGCTCAGTTCTGTATGTAACGCATGTTTGTCGTTGGTCTTGGATGGATTTAAGTGTTAGACAATTATCGTGCGCATTTGTCTAAATTTATGAGTTAAAAAATTACTATTGAAAGTGTTGGGAAATAATTTTCATTTTTCAAATTATAGTAATAATTGTCGGCATGTTCATTAAACACAAGTTTTAAAAAAATATCATCTTTTACAAAAATTCTAATTATGTCTTTATTTAGTCCTATAGCACTTACTTCCCTTTGATAAATTAGGAAAACACAATTACTTCCCTTTATAAAACCATTGCATTAGTGGAAAATAATTTACTTTTTATTACTTTGTTTTGGTATTAGGAAAAAAAATAATTACATAATTAGCGGGGATTGATCAAGTGCAAATGTTGTAGGTATTTTACGGATAAGCTTGGAGTATAAAAATTGTTCATTAAATTGAAACAGGCGCATTCGTTTAAGTGAGTGCAAAAGACTATGAATAAGTTGGGGTACTATAGTCATTTATTAAGCTAAAACAAGCGATTCCGTTGGGTTTGCGTTAGTGGTTGCGGTTTGATTTGGTTCGTTTTTGTTCTTTCTTTTTTTCGTTTTTGTTTGTGTTTTTTTCTTTGGGTTTGTATTTGTGTTTTGGTTGGTTTTGCGTTTGGATTTGGTTTGTTTTCGTTTGCTTTTTCGTTTTTTTGTGTGTTGTTATTGGTTGGTATTGGTGTTTGTGGTTGGGTTTGTTGTTAGGTTTTTGTTTGCATTTGCTTTTTTGTTTGTTTTTTCTTTGTGTTTGTATTGGTGGTTGTGGTTGGGTTTGTTGTTAGGTTTTTGTTTTCGTTTGTATTTGTAATTGTGTTAGCGTTATGTTTGCGTTTTGTTGTTTTGGTTGGTTGTGGTTTGGGTGGGCAATGCCGGGTTTATGATGATTACTAAACACACAGGTAATGGTCTTTAACAGAAAGGTTTTTCACAGAAGCCAGATCAGGGCCTGGCTGGGACGGCTAGTATAGTATAATGGCCTCTATACAAATAAAATAGAAGTCTAGAATATCATTTAGTTTAGCTGTATAATATATAAAGACCTATATAGTAGGCCTATGTATACAAGGTAAATGGGAAGGATTTACAATGAAGTTACACCAGAACGGTGAGTAGATAAATTGTTGAACACCTAGAACAGGAACCAATTTTATTAGGCTTAACGTGTAATGTACGATTTCACTAGCCAGTGTTGTTAAGAAATGACTTGACTAGTTCTTTGTATAATTCTTACAATTATCTCAACGTGAAAGATCAGATACTTTTACTTGATTCAGTGGCGGAACTAGAAAAAACGGGCCACCCCGCAAAAAAAATTTCTGAGCCCTATATATATATATATATATATATATATATATATATATATATATATATATATATATATATTAATATAAACATTGGATACTCGTTTCTGGCCTAATCAGGTTTTGAGTAAAATGTATTTTTTTTCTCAATTTAAACTAATTACATGTCTTGTGTGTGAGTGCATAAGACTGTTTTGAATTTTTTTTTTTTAAAGTTAGACTCCAGAACTAGTTTTTTTTTCTAGAACTTTTCAGTATGTTTGCTGTAATACTGACTACTCTTGAGAATTTAGCCGGTCAAAGGAATATAAAACGTGAAAGCTTTGTATGTGTAATGGTTTCTTATGTTATGTTTATTTTTTCTTTCATTTGTATTTATATTATTTGTTTTAAATATATTTCCTTCTTATGCTATCTCATTCTTTAGTATGTATGTTTTTAAAAATAATAATGAAGAGAATTAATTGCTTTTTAAATTTTTTAGTACAAATATATTAAAAGGAGCTAATGAGCATCCCTATTTAACTATTTAGAAAAGGGAAATAAGTCATGGAAGTGTTTTGAACGTTTGCCTATCTTTCACACTATATCTCAGGCATATATATATATATATTTTTACGCAACAGCATGTGTTAGCTACTGTATAACATCACTACTGTAGTAGATATGTTTGTCATTTACACACGCTTTTACCGTCAAGTCAAAAATGCAAGAAAATTATTTTTTAACTATAAAAAATGTATTATGGTCGGCAATGGGCCCCTAAATGGCGTGGGCCCCCCCCGCATTGCGGGGTCTGGCGGCACTGTAGTTCCGCCCCTGACTTGATTGCATCTCAATTACATCTTGCCTGGATCACTGTATTACAGAGAAATAAATATTGCTATCTGATCACTAAAATAGTATATGGTCGAGCAGGTGGGTGGAAGGAGATCTTGAATCATATGAATCAGATTAACTTGCTGAAGCTGTTGGGTTCAATCAAACACAGGTTAAGATTTTCTCTTTTTATTTGTTTTGGCTTCCCTAAGATCATAGGCATAGACAAGACTTTGTCAACTTTCCACCAGCACCTGCTTAGTAATGTTTTTTACTGTCTTTCTTATATTGTGCCCTAACCACCAACTTGTCGTTGCTCTTATTTCATTCTCCACTGTAACCACCATGCTCCAAACCATACAGTGAAAGATACTTCAAATTTAACTATAGATCCTGACTTCATTTATCTTGACAATAATGACATAGACATTCATACATAGGAATTCTTTATTGGTTTAGAAACTTAAAAAGCATTTCATCGCTGCTGATTCTAATCTGAACATCAAGAACAGTGCCACTATAAAACTGGTTATTACTGCTTCTTCAACTAGAACAATGCATTTGTTATTTACTATGTGCGAAATTTTTTATTTCATTTATTTAACTGTTACAATATGTCTTGTTAGCGATTGTTACATCCCTTGTATTTTTCATATAATAGTTACAACTCTTTGTCTGAGCTCTATGTATATAAGAATAAATTACTAAGGTTAACTCAAAGAACAGTGTCTATTTGAGTAATGTTACACTAACAACTTAAATTGTTTTATTGTTGGTAAAGTTTTTACTTTATTGCATATGTCAACAAAAGAATGTGAAGAAAATACTGAATTCATGAACATTGATATATATATATATATATATATATATATATATATATATATATATATATATATATATATATATATATATATATATATATATATATATATATATATACTGATCAATGTAAAATAATATTTTCACTTAGATTCCTAGAAAACATTGATACATTTTACTAACAGTGGTGTCGAATAAAACTAATTAATTAAAATATTTAATATTTATGCCAGGAGAGGTAGTTGATAATTTAAAAAGAAATTCAACTCGCGCTAAATATTGCTATTAAAATAAAAAAAATTTTTATTCCTGCCTCACTGAATATGTTAAGGCTCATAATTAAAGTAAATTAATGTTAAATTTATATTGTTTCCTCATTAGTCTGCACAGAGTTTTATAGTTGTTTTTTTTTTTTTCTTTTTATGATCTCTCAAAATCACTAATTTTTATTTTTTTTTTGATATTATTTAAACGATAGGTTAAATTAGAAAATGTGGGAAAGGCTCTCTCTGGTCGCCCAGGAATGTGTGTTGTTCAGCGGTTATTGTAATTACATCGCGGTTTTGGGGATGAGGGCAAATTGCTCTGCCATTTGTTTGATAAAGCCATTTGATAAAGTGTTTGCATTTGTGTTTGCTTTGGTGTTTGACGCTTGTGTTTGCGTTTATGTTTGTGTCGTATTTGAATTGCATCTATGTTTTCTTTTGTGTTTGACTGTTGCAATTGTGCTGTGTTTGTATTGTGTTTGCATTTGTTTTCTTTTGTGTTTGGTTTTTGTTCTTTTCCCAAGTTGGTACATTTAAAAAAAACCCAGCGAAGCACTGGTATAAGTATCTATAGTATCTATAGTATCTATTAGGCTGTTGGTAGTGTGTAAGTCATTCCGTAATCGCTATAGATTATGGAACCATAAAAGTTAACACTGAACCATGCAGTGCTTTTAAATTTTAAAACATGGATATTTTAAATACTGCCTTTTGTTTATTTCTGGATAAGTTGGGGTATTATATTGTAGCTTACTAAGTTGAATCAGGCGATTCCGCCAGCGCCCTGGCAGGGTGCGATTTGGCGCAACCGGCTAGACTGAGAGCACTATGTGTTTATGTTTGCATTTAAGTTGTTTTATATATATATATATATATATATATATATATATATATATATGTGTGTGTGTGTGTACATAGCATTAAAATTTCAAGTAGATCTATTTTTAGCCCAGCTAATTTGATTCCATTGTCTATTAGGCCCTAGGGGTAGAGTTTGTTGCATAAACTCTGTGACCCACTAGCAAAATAAAAGTGATGTCATCACCAATCTCTGCTGTTCTGCTAACCTGTAAGTCTCGAGTTCGAATCCGGGTCCAAGTCAGTAGACCCTCCCTGAGTCCACCCAACTCAGATGGGTACCTAACTCACGTTAGGGAAAGTAAAGGCAGCTGGGCATAGTGCTGACCACATTAACTCTTCATATGCTGAGGTCACAGAAACAAGTGAACTCTACTTCACTTGCCCCATAGACCGTCAGGTTTGAAAGGGAAACTTTTTACATCACCAATCTCAAATAGCATTTTTTGTACCCTATAGGGTATACTACTGGCAAACTGTAAGCTAACAGCTCTTCCATTTATGACATCCACAAAAAAGTTTGATTTTAGACCCCCCCCCCGCCAACACACACACACACCCTTTCCCCACACATGTCCACTTTTGATAAACACCCCTCTACAATGTGGATGTCCCCAGACTTTTTAAACCTTACTACTACTTTTATAACACAGTTTTAATACATTTGGTATTGTTCATTTTCAGGCCTATATGTTAAAAGAACCTAGAGTGTTTTGAGAAAAATTAGTATGCTTTAAACATCAAAATTATTCTTTTTTCCAAGGAGTTTCCCCTATTACCACCCAAAACTAGTGCAAATTATTAAACAATATGTGTGTTATTCTCTGTACTAGTTGTATGTATTTTAATAATCAGTATTATAGTTGATAAGATCAAGAAGTTGCAATACCTCCTTGGGTTCAAACCTCTGTGTGTTTACTTCCTCCTTGGCTTACCAAAGAGGTGCTATTTTTATTTAGGGGTCGTCCATAAATGTTACACTCCAGGGTGTCAGGAGGAGGTGACAACACGCTCTAGCAATAATTTTAGTGTAGATACAAATACTTAGCTTTATTTACATGCTGTGAGCACAGTCGTCTTAATTTTACTTTTCACATGTGGGATACACATTTTATGTTTGATTAAGAATGTAAGTTCTCCGATGTTAAATGTAACTCGTGGACGTCTGAATGGACCAGAACCACCCTCCTCCTGTATGAGGCTACTTATCAGAATGACTATCTTTGGTTTAAATGTTTTGTATTGTCAAGTATTATTTTCCAAAATGTAGTTTATTTTTAATGTGCCCTTTCTAAGATAATCAGGTTGATATATTTGTCTGTCAAATGATAAAAAGTTCAAATTATAGTTAGGCTTTTTACTTTTGAGGACTTCCATTTCAATCATGTTATCAAGTCCATCTTTAAAAGATAAGAAATGGTTTCAGCTTCTCTATTTGTTTATGATTACCACATTTAGGAGGGAGGCTCACATTGCTGAGGTTGAGAGGGGTATATGTTTCTTAATAATGGCATAAGTCACGCTCCATTAGAGATAGGTTTTTTGCAAAGGCCAGTGCAGGGCCTGGCCGTGAATGGAAAAAAAGTTACAGAAAAAAAACACAGAATAAAAAGTCACAGTTTTTGCACAAAAGAATTTTTTTATCGGAAATAAAAGTCACAGAAAAAAAGTAACAAAAATCTTTTAAGAAATATTTTTATTTAGCTGTTGTCAGTGGCCTATGTCCCAGAAGTGGCTACATGCTAACCTAACCAAACCTAACCAAACCTAACCAAACCTAACCAAACCTAACCAAACCTAACCAAACCTAACCAAACCTAACCAAACCTAACCAAACCTAACCAAACCTAATTGTTAAGAATCTGTAAACTTTTGGGTGTTTATTGATGCGGGTGTTTTTTTTTTTTGGGTAGCATATTTATAAACTTTAAAAGCTGTATGGTTTATAACAATAAAAGTAAAAATACTATAAGATAATTTCCACAGCAACCTCAAGGTTTGTTATATAATTTAGTTCAATACAGCTTTGGTATCAGTGACTGCCTTTGTATCATGTCGGCTGTCTGGTTTGATTTTATGCTTTTCTTATGGAATGAGCATGATAAATGTGGGCAGTACGGGTGGTTGAACTATGATTGCAATGAGTTGAGGACAGCAAGTTACATTAGCTATGCCTTTTTGCCATTTCACGCTAATTTAAAGTTAGTTAGTTTAAAAAGCACAATGAAGACCAGAGATGTTAAAACATTGTATTAAATTCTATTAAATATTACATGTATAACCTAATTAAAACCTACTTAATAATTTTAAATGTGTTTTAAATATTACTATATGTATGCAGCCTATGCACATTACATTGCATTTAATTAATCGTAAGCTGATTTGAACTTTCTTAATATTTAATAAATAATTTAACAAATTACATGCAACTACACATTTGTGACTTTTTTCTGTTTTTTTCCTGTGACTTTTCCCCACAGTTGACCCGGCTAGAACAGCTAGTGGTGTTATTGTATACTTCAACAATTTGTCAGGATTGTTTATTTACATGTATGTTAGACTTGCACTGTAATGTCAAAGTGGTATTTATATTTAAAAAGCCAGACTTTGGTGAGAGGCTAGTGTCTTGATTGATCAGATGGTCCTTAAAGAAACCAGACTAGTAACGTCATGCCAAATTAATGAATGGATAAGTCTGGCATCACTTGTTTGGTACTATAGTATCATCACACTAGCCTCTTATAAGTTATAAGACTGTATTTATCTAAAGTAGTCAAATTAAGAATCGAAATGACTGCCTTCAATTCTACATGAATGTAGGCACAATTGCTATGAATGAGACTTACCTAAAATGATTGTTTTTCTATTACAAATTCACCATTGAGAATTGTAATCAATGTATTTATAAACATTATGTTAGTGAAGGAATTTGGAATAATTTAAAAAAAAAAAAGGGTGCCCTTCTATAAAGTAGAAGAACAACAAGTAATTAGCACACTAAATAAATGTGTATTATATATGTGAACCATTGACTGGTTCATGTTTTAGAATGATTAGAAGACAGGGGAAATGAAGTCCTATCCAGCCAAACATGAAGTCCATCTTTGTTTTCTATGCAGGAGTGTGTGATGGACCTGGCAATGTTCAGCCAGGTGGCAGAGGTGACCAGCTCACTCTACCTGAGCAGTGCTGCTGCAGTCCGAGGTGAGAAGATTCGTAGTTTGGGCATCACTCACATCATCAATGTCACCCTGGAGATACCCAATTTACAGCTGCCCAATCTGGAGAGTATACAAATCCACATAGAGGACACACCTACAGCTAGACTAGGGCTTTATTTTGACAGGTGTGCTGACAAGATACATCAGGTAGGCTTTACAATCAGCTATTTTTTGCTTTCATCTTTCTGTGTTTTTATGTGCAGTTCTATTTAGGTTTTTCCACTCATGAGGCTTCTATTTCCATTGCAGGGATGTGACTTTTTACAGTTTTCACATATTTCTCATTTTTCAGAATTTGAATTTTCATTCCAATTTTTTATATATTTTAACTTACTTACTTTCACACAAAAAATGTATAAAATGTAGTCTAAATTTTTTTTTTAAAGTTGCTGTTCGACAAAGGAAATGTACTTCTCCACAGTCTTGTTTGTTAATATCACATGTGGTGCTTTTGAATGTATCTATTTAGGTATTTTCAATTAACTCTGATGTTTTTAAATTATTATTGTTAGCTGCCACCTATACCATAGCTACACCATTTTCATTTTCTTATCATTTCCAAGTGCTTACAATTTAATTTCTGAACTTGAAATTAATTTTGAAATCGTTACCAAAGATGACTTCAGACAAGACTGACTCGCCTCTCTTGTAACTGATTTCTAAGCTTTTGTGAATTGACCATAACCCCCTGATATGTTTAATACTGCTTGTTTTGGGAAGTGATATCACTGCTATCTTTACTACTAATTGCTCACAGCTCATGCTTTAACTCCTATTCTATCAACTAGTAATTGCTCATGCTTTAACTCCTATTCTATCAACTAGTAATTGCTCATGCTTTAACACCTATTCTATCAACTAGTAATTGCTCATGCTTAACTCCTATTCTATCAACTAGTAATTGCTCATGCTTTAACACCTATTCTATCAACTAGTAATTGCTCATGCTTTAACACCTATTCTATCAACTAGTAATTGCTCATGCTTTAACACCTATTCTATCAACTAGTAATTGCTCATGCTTTAACACCTATTCTATCAACTAGTAATTGCTCATGCTTTAACACCTATTCTATCAACTAGTAATTGCTCACAGCTCATGCTTAACTCCTATTCTATCAACTAGTAATTGCTCATGCTTTAACACCTATTCTATCAACTAGTAATTGCTCATGCTTTAACACCTATTCTATCAGCTAGTAATTGCTCATGCTTTAACACCTATTCTATCAGCTAGTAATTGCTCATGCTTTAACACCTATTCTATCAACTACTAATTGCTCATGCTTTAACACCTATTCTATCAACTAGTAATTGCTCATGCTTTAACACCTATTCTATCAACTAGTAATTGCTCATGCTTTAACACCTATTCTATCAACTAGTAATTGCTCATGCTTTAACACCTATTCTATCAGCTAGTAATTGCTCATGCTTTAACACCTATTCTATCAACTAGTAATTGCTCACAGCTCATGCTTTAACACCTATTCTATCAACTAGTAATTGCTCATGCTTTAACACCTATTCTATCAACTAGTAATTGCTCATGCTTTAACACCTATTCTATCAACTAGTAATTGCTCATGCTTTAACACCTATTCTATCAACTAGTAATTGCTCACAGCTCATGCTTTAACTCCTATTCTATCAACTAGTAATTGCTCATGCTTTAACACCTATTCTATCAACTAGTAATTGCTCACAGCTCATGCTTTAACACCTATTCTATCAACTAGTAATTGCTCATGCTTTAACACCTATTCTATCAGCTAGTAATTGCTCATGCTTTAACACCTATTCTATCAACTAGTAATTGCTCACAGCTCATGCTTTAACACCTATTCTATCAACTAGTAATTGCTCATGCTTTAACACCTATTCTATCAACTAGTAATTGCTCATGCTTTAACACCTATTCTATCAACTAGTAATTGCTCATGCTTTAACACCTATTCTATCAACTAGTAATTGCTCATGCTTTAACTCCTATTCTATCAACTAGTAATTGCTCATGCTTTAACACCTATTCTATCAACAAGTAATTGCTCATGCTTTAACTCCTATTCTATCAACTAGTAATTGCTCACAGCTCATGCTTTAACTCCTATTCTATCAACTAGTAATTTAGTAATTGCTCATGCTTTAACACCTATTCTATCAACTAGTAATTGCTCATGCTTTAACACCTATTCTATCAACTACTAATTGCTCATGCTTTAACACCTATTCTATCAACTAGTAATTGCTCATGCTTTAACACCTATTCTATCAACTAGTAATTGCTCATGCTTTAACACCTATTCTATCAACTAGTAATTGCTCATGCTTTAACTCCTATTCTATCAACTAGTAATTGCTCATGCTTTAACACCTATTCTATCAACTAGTAATTGCTCATGCTTTAACACCTATTCTATCAACAAGTAATTGCTCATGCTTTAACACCTATTCTATCAACTAGTAATTGCTCATGCTTTAACACCTATTCTATCAACTAGTAATTGCTCATGCTTTAACACCTATTCTATCAACTAGTAATTGCTCACAGCTCATGCTTTAACACCTATTCTATCAACTAGTAATTGCTCATGCTTTAACACCTATTCTATCAACTAGAAATTGCTCACAGCTCACTCTATAACACCTATTCTATCAACTAGTAATTGCTCACAGCTCACTCTATAACACCTATTCTATCAACTAGTAATTGCTCATGCTTTAACTCCTATTCTATCAACTAGTAATTGCTCACAGCTCATGCTTTAACTCCTATTCTATCAACTAGTAATTGCTCATGCTTTAACTCCTATTCTATCAACTAGTAATTGCTCACAGCTCATGCTTTAACTCCTATTCTATCAACTAGTAATTGCTCATGCTTTAACTCCTATTCTATCAACTAGTAATTGCTCATGCTTTAACTCCTATTCTATCAACTAGTAATTGCTCACAGCTCATGCTTTAACACCTATTCTATCAACTAGTAATTGCTCATGCTTAACTCCTATTCTATCAACTAGTAATTGCTCATGCTTTAACACCTATTCTATCAACTAGTAATTGCTCACAGCTCACTCTATAACACCTATTCTATCAACTAGTAATTGCTCACAGCTCACTCTATAACACCTATTCTATCAACTAGTAATTGCTCATGCTTTAACTCCTATTCTATCAACTAGTAATTGCTCACAGCTCATGCTTTAACTCCTATTCTATCAACTAGTAATTGCTCATGCTTTAACACCTATTCTATCAACTAGTAATTGCTCACAGCTCATGCTTTAACACCTATTCTATCAACTAGAAATTGCTCATGCTTAACTCCTATTCTATCAACTAGTAATTGCTCATGCTTTAACACCTATTCTATCAACTAGTAATTGCTCATGCTTTAACACCTATTCTATCAACTAGTAATTGCTCATGCTTTAACACCTATTCTATCAACTAGTAATTGCTCATGCTTTAACACCTATTCTATCAACTAGTAATTGCTCATGCTTTAACACCTATTCTATCAACTAGTAATTGCTCATGCTTTAACACCTATTCTATCAACTAGTAATTGCTCATGCTTTATTTAACACCTATTCTATCAACTAGTAATTGCTCATGCTTAACTCCTATTCTATCAACTAGTAATTGCTCACAGCTCACTCTATAACACCTACTCTATATAGGCCTACTGATGACTAAACTAATGTGAACTCACATGACCCTCAATTTTTATTCAAGGATATTCTAATAGCAAAGATGTGGCTCCTAGCAAACTGATGATTCATGTGTTTTGGTTTTTCTGATTTACAAAACACAATTTAAGAAAAAAAATAATTGGTAGGCCTTATCTAAATTCTGCTTTTTACTTTTTCCAATGTTTTTCATGGTCACATGACATTCTTTCATCAGATAGAGAGATCCAGTCATTTTATGCTACTTTCTATTTACAATAGGTAGAAAAGAAAGGGGGTAAAACTCTGGTCCATTGTGTGGCAGGTGTCAGCCGGTCTGCCTCGCTGTGTATTGCCTATTTAATGAAATATCACAGTATGAGCCTGGAGCAGGCCTACAGACATGTCAAGCGTCGCAGATCTGTCATTCACCCAAATGTTGGCTTCTGGCGACAACTTATTGACTTTGAACGTCGTCTGTTTGGACGCACCAGTGTAAAGATGGTTCAGTCGTCCATTGGTTGGGTGCCAGATGTCTATTGCCAGGAACCCAAGAGCCTTTCTTGGATGCCATCAACCACATCACGGTACGGATACTGAACTGTTTAAAGCAATAACTCCTGTACATGTGCAACATTATTTATTTCAAATGTTCTCAAACTGTACATGTGCAACATTATTTATTTCAAATGTTCTCAAACTCCTGTAAATGTGCAACATTATTTATTTCAAATGTTCTCAAAGATTTCATGTCAGCAGGACTGTCAGTGTAATAGAATACATTTGAGCTGTCCAGCAATGAAAGAAAATATTGAATTTAATAGCATTTCACTTCCAGATTTTTTTCCTATTTTGTACTTTTGCCTAATCTTAAAGATAAATTATATTATTAAATGTTTAAATTTGTTTTTATTGTACAATAATTAAATTCGACTTGATCTATGTTAAAGGTTAAAAAATTATTTTTTTTTACAGTTAAAGTGTTGGTGCACTTAATAACCTTAAAGTGTTGGTGCACTTAATAACCTTAAAGTGTTGGTGCACTTAATAACCTTAAAGTGTTGGTGCACTTAATAACCTTAAAGTGTTGGTGCACTAAATAACCTTAAAGTGTTGGTGCACTAAATAACCTTAAAGTGTTGGTGCACTTAATAACCTTAATGTGTTGGTGCACTTAATAACCTTAAAGTGTTGGTGCACTTAATAACCTTAAAGTGTTGGTGCACTAAATAACCTTAAAGTGTTGGTGCACTTAATAACCTTAAAGTGTTGGTGCACTAAATAACCTTAAAGTGTTGGTGCACTAAATAACCTTAAAGTGTTGGTGCACTAAATAACCTTAATGTGTTGGTGCACTTAATAACCTTAAAGTGTTAGTGCACTAAATAACCTTAAAGTGTTGGTGCACTTAATAACCTTAAAGTGTTGGTGCACTTAATAACCTTAATGTGTTGGTGCACTAAATAAACTTAAAGTGTTGGTGCACTTAATAACCTTAAAGTGTTGGTGCACTAAATAACCTTAATGTGTTGGTGCACTCCTTGAAGTGTTGATGTGTTGGTGCACTAAATAACCTTAATGTGTTGGTGCACTCCTTGAAGTGTTGATGCACTTGATATTAATGATTGATTGGCATGTGGTAAAAAAATTAATGAAATAAACTAAATTATTTTTATGCTTTTTCTATTTTCTCAAGAATCTTTTTATACTTGATAGATTTCATCTGTTTCTGTGACCTTAGCATTTGATGTGGTCAGTTGTAGGTCCAACCACTTTTATTTCATACTTTCTGCTTGTTTATATAAGATACTGGAAGAAATGATCATTTCAGATTATTTGGCAATAAATATTTATGAACATAATGAGTCAGCATTATGTTGTTCTGACATTTGTATACTTTAGGATCATCCTTTTGTTTCATATTGTAGTTCAATAGATGTAAATTAGTTTATTAATTTCATCAGTAATGTGCAACCTTGAGTATTTAACTATTGTATGTAAGTGTAGGTTTGATCATTATATTCTGTATTCTCATCACCAGAGGATCAAATGTTGTTGTAATCTATCTCAATCTAGAAAAGTAATGAAGTATTTTTTTAAACTATCAGAGTTTGAGCGCATCAATACTCTTGAAAGTTTCAATTTGTTTGGGTATTCCAATACCCTTTTCACTGTGATAAATTGAGTCATTGCATTACTTTTTAAATAAATATTTTAATTTTCAATGATTTTATTTTATTATGTTTGTGATAAAAATGTGTATTTTTAATTTCATACTAAAACATGTTCACACTAAATCCACTAAAAGCAGAATGATTAACTATTAGCCGTAATGAGAATGTTATAGCATTTCTCAACTTATCAACCTACTACTTCATTGAACAACAAAATTCCCTGGTCTAATTAACACAAAATTGGCAGATCCAAATTATTCTAATTAACACATGATAATTGGCAGATCCAAATTGGTCTAATTAACACATGATAATTGGCAGATCCAAATTGGTCTAATTAACACATGATAATCGGAATATCCAAATTGGTCTAATTAACACATGATAATCGGAATATCCAAATTGGTCTAATTAACACATGATAATTGGCATATCCAAATTGATCTAATTAACACATGATAATTGGCATATCCAAATTGGTCTAATTAACACATGATAATTGGCAGATCCAAATTGGTCTAATTAACACATGATAATTGGCAGATCCAAATTGGTCTAATTAACACATGATAATTGGCAGATCCAAATTGGCCCAGGGCGCAAAATCGGACCCTGCCGAGGCGCCGGCAGACGCGCCTGATTCAATTTAGTGATTCAATCAAGATGATTAGATCAACAAATGAAATGTTATTAAGGTAAAAATTAGTAGAAAAATATTGACAAATGTTGGACTTGGCTTGTGAAAACATTTTCCTTGTTTTTTTTAAAATGTTTGGTAGGATGGAAAGGGCAGGCAGTTGGTATATGGGGTGGGTAGGGAATTCCCTAGTCAGTTAGTTAATACCGATGGGCCCTGTTCTACACCCCCCCCCCCCACCACCACCACCACCACCACTGCATATCACTGCCCGTACAGTAAGAAAGGACTGGGGGCTTAGATTACTTATATAAATCAAACTTCCAATGTAAAAGTTTTAATTAGGCCCCTATGTGATTGAGATCACGTGTTTGCAAGGGAACCCAACACAAATGCTATTGAAAATGACAACCGAAATATTATCGCCCAATGAAAACGCAAAATCTAAAATTTCCTGGGTACCTGATTTGGACTTTGATGGAGAAAGCACTATGATTTAAATAACTGTAAAGAAAAGAGAAAATAACTTTATAGTTTATTTTACGCCTTATCTCAGGAGAACCCTAACATGCTATTTTCTTTATACTTATTTAAATAGTAGTGCACACATACATATTTAAATAAAATCACATATTTTCTACTTTTTATGCCTATTTGATTATATTATAAAAGTTTGTTATTTAAACGTTTGTATTTTAAAATTTCCATTTTACAATCAAAGCGGCCGTAAAAAAAAAATACTAATAATAAAGCAGGATTGGTCTCCTCTAAATTTTGTCGTATCTGATATATAAATAATATCTATATATCTAATTCTCTTCAATTCTAATATATAAATAATATCTATATATCTAATTCTCTTCAATTCTAATATATAAATAATATCTATATATCTAATTCTCTTCAATTCTAATATATAAATAATATCTATATATCTAATTCTCTTCAATTCTAATATATAAATAATATCTATATATCTAATTCTCTTCAATTCTAATATATAAATAATATCTATATATCTAATTCTCCTCATGGGAAAGACGATGCAAGCCGACTATCTAACCCTCCCGCCACCCCCCCCCCCCTCTCGCTCTCCAGGCATGCGCAACAGACCATTTCGCTACCATCCCCACCAGTCAGGTGAGCTGTGGTTTACCCTGAATGTTTACAATTGTAGAGCCAGATCGAATCAGTAACGGCTATAAGGAGCAGATAATTTAGCGTTTAAACGATTTGAAACTAAGGAGATGTCGTCTTTAAACTGTCGTCACGTATGCTTACTTCGGGGATCAGCTCATCTATCTATATAATTCTCTTCTTGGAGATCATAGAAAACACCAAGCTGTAAGCCCACCTAGCAGCCCCCTCTCTTCCTCTCTAGGCACATCCCTACCACCCCCCCCCCCCCCATGGTCTGGTGAGCTGTGGTTCACGCTAAATGTTTACAATCGTAGAGCCAGGTCTAGTGACGGCTATTAGGGGCAGATAATTTAGTTTGAAACGATTTTAAACTTAGGGGAGGTAACTAAGAGGAGGCTGCTTTCACGGGGGGGGGGGGGGGGAGTAGGGTAGAGGTTGGGGGAAAGGAGGGTGGGGGGGGGGGGTATATCGTCTTTAACGACCTACTGATAGTGTTTGAATATTTTCAGTGGCAGCACTGGTACTGTCGAATTCACAAATTATGGATTACTGAAAAGTAGAGAATAAAACAACTAAATAGCGGCATATGCTACGCCGCAGGTCGGCTCGTAATTAATAAAAAGCTCAAATAGACGTGGTTGGGTAATGTACAAACACAAACATAGGATTCAATTGACATGAAGTTTGAAATAGATATCAATGCGGAAAAAATCCAACATGGTGGGATGGGGAGGGTCAAGATGATGCGTCCGAGGCAGTGAATCTTGTTTTAAGGGGTGCCATGGTTGTAGGTTAGAAAATGTGGGGTGTACAGGTTAGGAAGTGTGAGTGTATAGGTTAGAAAATGTGGGGTGTACAGGTTTGAAAATGTGGGGTGTACAGGTTAGAAAATGTGGGGTGTACAGGTTTGAAAATGTGGGGTGTACAGGTTTGAAAATGTGGGGTGTACAGGTACGAAAATGTGGGGTGTACATGTTTGAAAGTGTGGGGTGTACAGGTTTGAAAATGTGGGGTGTGGCCTACAGGATAGAAAATGTGGGGTGTACAGGTTAGAAAATGTGGGGTGTACAGGTTAGAAAATGTGGGGTGTAGCCTACAGGTTAGGAAGTGTGGGGTGTACAGGTTAGAAAATGTGGGGTATTCATATTAATAACAGTAAACGAATACAGGAAAGTTTACATTTGCACATTTATCAAAGTCAATTTTTAGTTTGACATTTTTCGCTTACATTATATACATTGTGGATTTGTGTACAAATAATGAATAAATTTAAAAAATTATCAAAATAATTGCAAGTGACAGAGGAAAAAAACATATTTAAACCTAGCGAGGGGGAAGCGTCATGGTGAAAAAAAAGCATAACGCAGATAAATAATCAAAAATAAGTAGATGTACAAGTACATAGATGAACAAATAAAAATTTAAAAAAAAAGGAATAACATTTGCTTTTAAGCGAGGAGTGGGGGTACAAAGGGTGGGATCATGGTGACATAGGAGATGAGGTTATACCAGGTTAAACATTACCACTCATTGTAAACACAAATCCCATGTTAAACACTAACACCAAACATTGTAAAAATCAGGCTAAAAATTATGATAAATTAGTGGATAACATTTAGTTCCATTGTTTATTAGTGCTATATCATTTATAAAATTGTATAATACAATAAACAAATTTTGTGGATTTGAGATCTACATATTTGTAGATTATGATATATTATAAAATATATACATGTGTGTTGATTATGAGATCTACACATATGTAGATTATGATATATACCAATTCCACTTGTTTTCGTCATCCAGGTCACCATCACCATCAGCATCAGCAAGAGATCCTGGCTCTCCTCTGGTTAAGTTTACTTTGTGCCATATTCTCCTTCAAGAAAAATTGTAACATTTTTAAGTTACTTTGTGCCATATTCTCCTTCAAGAAAAATTGTAACATTTTTAAGTTACTTTGTGCCATATTCTCCTTCAAGAAAAATTGTAACATTTTTAAGTTACTTTGTGCCATATTCTCCTTCAAGAAAAATTGTAACATTTTTAAGTTACTTTGTGCCATATTCTCCTTCAAGAAAAATTGTAACATTTTTAAGTTACTTTGTGCCATATTCTCCTTCAAGAAAAATTGTAACATTTTTAAGTTACTTTGTGCCATATTCTCGTTCAAGAAAAATTGTAACATTTTTAAGTTACTTACCAAGGTAAAGCAACACTCTACCTTAGGTAACTTACCTGAAACAATTTGAACAGACCCAAAATGATCATTGGACACAACTATCAACAGAGTTTCTTCCAGGCATCTCTTCGGGGGGGGGGCGAAGAAAGTCTACCCCCCCCCCCCCGAAAATTTTAAAGTGCTCCCCCCCCTTCCAGAAAAAAGTCTGGAAGAAACACTGACTATCAATAGACATGAAGATTATGAGATCCAGAATCACGCATGCTTGGGTTCAAGTTGTTGTACTTGTTAACCTGTGCTAGATTTCCCATTCTCATCCAAGTCTATGCAATTGTATATAAAGACTGTTGCGCAACTAAACCTAAAGCCCTCATTCTACTAGCTTAGTGTACGTAGTTTCTGTGTGGAAAATTTGTGTTTGTTCATTTTAGACAATACTCATTTTAGTGAGTGAATAGTTTAGATCAGGGGTTCCCAACCCTGTGCCCGCTGGCACCATAGGGCCCGCTGAACGATTCGTATGTGCCCGCCTCTCACTATTCGACAGAGACAGAATTTTTTTCATAAACATTATTTAAAAATATTATTTATTTTTATTCATTGGTTACAGTTTTAATTTTTTTTTTACTAGTACCTTGTACACGCAGAAAACCCGAAGTGAACGAATGGAACAAACGCCACGAACTGATCCGATAAACGCCGAAGGCACCAAATCACAAGGCACATAACTCTGATTGCTACGACGATCATCGGCTCACTTCGTGTTTTCTGCATGTACATGGAGTGATGTGCAAAAAGCATTCCCCGCCTGGAACCGCGTTGTTGTCATTGTGATTGCTGCCCTGTTCGGGGCGCGACAGTTAGATAAGAGACGTGTTCGTCAGACGAAACACGAATCAGGAGTTTTCTATAAAAAAAAAATTAACAGGCTAAAAGCTTATAATTTTAACACTGACTGGGAGGAATCATATTGTTTCGTTAATTTGAAAAATAAATGCGTTTGTTTGTTGTGTGGTAGTAGCATTGCAGTGCCGAAAAAACATAAAGTTGAACGACACTTTCAGACAAATCATGGCACTTTTAATGTGAATTATCCTCTTAAATCTGAAGTAAGAAAGAAAAAAATTTGTAATCTAAAATCAAGTCTAACAGCACAACATACTGTTTTAACTCGACATGTTGAAAATTCTAAAAAGGCCACTATTGTTTCTTTCAAAATATCTGACATGCTTGCAAAAAAAGAAGAAACCTTTCATTGATGGTGAGTTGTTTAAGGAACTATTTTTGACTGGTGCCGATTAATTTAATGTTATCTATGCAATTTGAAAAAAATGCCAAATATTTTTATTATTTTGAAACATTTTTGTTTATTATTTATTAATATATTATGACTATAAGAAAATAAGAAAATAAATTATGGGAAAATGACAAGTTATGGAAGGAGTTTGTCGATTTAAAGTAGGTGGTGCCCGCCACCCTACCAATATTTTAGAATGTGCTCTTGAGTAAAAAAAAAGGTTGGGAACCCCTGGTTTAGATAATGTATTAACTTTCATTATTATCCTTGTTAACGTACCACAAGATTTTGGATCTATATTTTATTTGATATGGAAGCACTTTGTGGTTTGTAGCAGATCCAAAGATTATCGGATACATCTTTTACTAGATCCAAAAATTAACTGCTACAAATTGTACTCAACTCGTGTTTTAGGGTGGACCTGCGGCGGAACAGTTAAAGACAATGAGACCGTAGTGCTGTGAGACCAGAATGGTGGCGAGTGATCGGCCTCAACAACACAGACATGTCTAGGACACACACAGTACCATATCAGGGTACACACAGTACCATATCAGGGTACACACAGTACCATATCAGGGTACACACAGTACCATATCAGGGTACACACAGTACCATATCAGGGTACACACAGTACCATATCAGGGTACACACAGTACCATATCAGGGTACACACAGTACCATATCAGGGTACACTCAGTACCATATCAGGGTACACACAGTACCATATCAGGGTACACTCAGTACCATATCAGGGTACACACAGTACCATATCAGGGTACACACAGTACCATATCAGGGTACACACAGTACCATATCAGGGTACACACAGTACCATATCAGGGTACACTCAGTACCATATCAGGGTACACACAGTACCATATCAGGGTACACACAGTACCATATCAGGGTACACACAGTACCATATCAGGGTACACACAGTACCATATCAGGGTACACACAGTACCATATCAGGGTACACACAGTACCATATCAGGGTACACACAGTACCATATCAGGACACACACAGTACCATATCAGGGTACACACAGTACCATATCAGGGTACACACAGTACCATATCAGGGTACACACAGTACCATATCAGGGTACACACAGTACCATATCAGGGTACACACAGTACCATATCAGGGTACACACAGTACCATATCAGGGTACACACAGTACCATATCAGGACACACACAGTACCATATCAGGGTACACACAGTACCATATCAGGGTACACACAGTACCATATCAGGGTACACACAGTACCATATCAGGGTACACACAGTACCATATCAGGGTACACACAGATCAGGGTACACACAGTACCATATCAGGGTACACAAAGTACCATATCAGGGTACACACAGTACCATATCAGGGTACACACAGTACCATATCAGGGTACACACAGTACCATATCAGGGTACACACAGTACCATATCAGGGTACACACAGTACCATATCAGGGTACACACAGTACCATATCAGGGTACACACAGTACCATATCAGGGTACACACAGTACCATATCAGGGTACACACAGTACCATATCAGGGTACACACAGTACCATATCAGGGTACACACAGTACCATATCAGGGTACACACAGTACCATATCAGGGTACACACAGTACCATATCAGGGTACACAAATAGGGAAATGCCTCCTGAGCCAGTGATGACCATAAAGAAATCAAAAATGAAGTAATTTAAGATTGGGTCCACATGACTTTTTGATTATCTTCTGTGTGGTGTTATGACTTTTTGATTATCTTCTGTGTGGTGTTATGACTTTTTGATTATCTTCTGTGTGGTGTTATGACTTTTTGATTATCTTCTGTGTGGTGTTATGACTTTTTGATTATCTTCTGTGTGGTGTTATTGTGTTTTTTTAAAGATTAAGGTTATGAGTCCTCAACTCCTGGTTTAGCTTAAGTTGCACGAGCTAAATGTAGTTTAAGTTTTCTGTTAGAGCTTGAACAAAGGTTACCTGCCATCCTTCTCACTCGTGTCAGCTTCTAAAATAGCCTCCCTTAAATCTGATTCCATTTCAGCTATGCTTCGCTCAAAATATTCGTTTTGTTTTAAAAGTTTCTGCACCTCAACCTAAATAGATAATATTTATTCATTCAAAACGACATCAAATAAAATGTCAAGAATATAAACACTTAAATATAGTAAAGGAAATAAATTGCTAGGATGATAGCTGGTTACAGAACCTTCCATGCTCCGCCAATAAAAGTCGGCCTTGTGCAGGAAGAGACCACAAGCTACCGATAGGGTTTTAATGTAAATATTTTGGGTTTATGTGGTGTCGACTTTTTAAAAAATGATATGATAAAAATACAGTAGTAAGTGAATGTAGTTATAAAAATAGACTAGGGACCGACTTTGTCAACTGTATTAATATGAATCATCAGCTTAAGCAGTGGCGTAGCTACCGTAAAGCTAGCGTAAGCAAGGCATATGGGCCCCAGGCATTTAGGGGCCCTTTTCCCTCTTAAAAAAATTATAACTTTTTACGTTGAAATTTTAATATTTCTTTTATATAAATAATTTAAAAAATGAAATGAAAATTCCGTTTCTTTTCTATAGTAGAAATAATTTAAAGTTCCAAAAAGGCCCCCAGTCCTTTCGTACTTTACAAGTAGTGGGATTCAGTGGGGAGGGGGGGGGGGGTCGAACAGGGCCCATCCTTAATAATATCACTATATCGTTACGTTAATGACATTTCATTTGTTGATCTAATTAATCTTTAATCAATAGGGCGCTATTAACACTATAAGTTTTTGGTTTTCATCCAATCGCCAAGAAACTTTGGGAAATCGTTGAGAATACGCCAAAGGAAGTGTTTTTTTTCCCCAGACATTTTTCCTGAGAGAAACTCTGACTTTTGGGGAGGTTTCTGCCATTAAATTTTTATTTTATTTCTGAGGGCGCCCCCCACCCCCGACAGTAAGGCGGTGCGGTTTGCCACAAAAAGTTTCCCAGTGGCTATCTTTGCTCCTGGGTTCTGTTGATTGGGAGTCCGGCGCATCGGGTGAGCGTTAAATTGCACGGGCGCATTAGCCGGCACCCCAGCGGTCGCCTATATTCGTTTTAGTGAGCGCCATACACTAGGGATATGTCGAAATACAAAAATCGATTACTAAATCGAATAAGGGGTGTCCTCTAGCGCATCAGCAGTAGTAACGGTTGGGCTCCCGAGTTACCCTGCGGCTACCTGAGTGCACGAGATCCTTTGATTGAACGTCAAACTGCAACAGGGGCGGCTTTCGACGCCCTCGGCGTACAGATGACACCAATTACACAAGTATTCTACAAGGGACGGATGTTGCATCTGGCTGCATACAGTAGTGTAACCAGTCACTCCCGCAACGCCCCTAACACCGAGGCGGTCGCCAAAAGGTATTCTACCTCACAATAACGGAAAATGATTAACGTACACTCAATGTTTTCATACAGCACGCACAGGGGCGTCTGAGCGGTAGTGTGGACCAAACCCGCATCCAGCAACAAAGATCCGAATAAAAATAGCAATAGCAGTGACGTTGTTTACATTTTAACTAAACCTATCTCAGTTTTAGAAAACAAGGTCACACGACTAAAAAATACACAGTTGGAAACACGTTGATGAAACCCTCACAAATTGTTTTGTTACCCTGGTATGTGGGACTAGATCGCAGCAACGCGGACGGGTACGCTATTTAGTATAAACATTCTTTAACATTCCATAGTGATTGGGAAGGAGATTTTGATGTCTATGATGGTTCTCGATCATTATTTGCTCATTATGATGATGTTATTTGTTATGAAACAAATTTTAGATATGCCCATTGGGTCAGTAGCTTGGACATTCTCAGAATCTATCATATAGAAGCAGCTAAAGTAGATCTCAATGAACTTATTAATCATTTTACAAAATCAAAAGTATGAAAAAAAAACAGATCTAAATAAATCATGAGCAATTTTTGAAAAAGAAAATGTGTTTGGTTAGTAGCGTCACAAGGTCGGGTGTTATCCTACGTGTTTACTAAAGGTGTCACACCATCGTCCCCAACAATTGTGCATTTTCTAAGGGGTGTTAACCCTCTCTCACAAATGTTATATTATTTTATCTGGATACAACTTAGTGTTGACAGTAAATTTTACAATGTCTTGTCATGGTGTCACTCCTGTGTCATACTATGCGGACCACACCTCTACCCCAGCCTTGTGATGCTACTGTGTTTGTTTACTTAAAAAAACAAATTAACTGTAAGACTGTAATATTTTTACAAAACTACATACTAATATAGTATAAATACACAATCCGGACATATAGACATATACAATTTAAAATGTACAGAATATTTATATTATTTTTGAAATTCTCCATTGATTTCTTCTTTTAAAAAATGCTAGCTACGCCTGCTTAAGCTGGATACATATGTGCAGCTCAGGCAAAGGGGGGGGGGGGGCACTTCCAACTTTGACCCTTAAGAGGCGCACAAATTGGTTGAATTTTTTTTTTTACTTGAGTGTCCAAGTCGTGGTCGAGTCGGTAAAGCTCATGGCTGTTAAACCGAAAGGACTCGAGTTCGAACCCTCGGGCAGATGAGGCTCGTTAGCTGGGGACAGCCACTCTTCTAGGAGAGACAACTCCAAAATCAAACAACTGCTGCCTTGTAGTTTGTTCTTGGTTGGACAAAGGCTATGGAAGCAAATCCAAAAAGAAAAGCAGGCTGAAATCGGAGTCAATGGCCTCAATGGCGCATAACCAGTTGACACGTAACGCTTAATTATGTTGGAGGCGTGGTCGAGTCGGCAAAAAGCTCATGGTTGATACATTCGAACAGTCTCGAG